CAGGTTCCAACGCTGCCAACTTCCTTTTTTGTACTGACATGTCCAGCGTGGTATGTTTGTTTGTGCGCACTTCCTGCAAACCTGTTTTGTTCATCTAACGGGAGTGAGGATAGTACGCTGCCATCGATCTGTTTTTTGTTCTTGACGAATTGCATTTGTTAGACACAAAAAAAAAACCCCTTTCCCCCATAGGTGCGGCCAGGGATTGTCCTGCATGGTTGAAAAATTATTTCATCACCAAAAAAAAAAAATTATTTTCTCAAAACAGGCCGGTTAAAAAAGGTTTTTTTAACACAGGAGTTTCTGGTGAAAACTTTTTTGTGCGTGCAAGGCATTTCCTACAAAGCGGGTGCTATATACAAGAAAAACCCCCAAAAAAAAAAATCAAATATAAAAATAAAAGAAAAAAAATAAAAAAAAAAAAAAAAAAAAAAAAAAAAAAAAACGTGTGTAAACCCACACGTTCCGCACGTGGAGCGTAAGCCCTGATGTTGCCCCCCCGGGGGGAAGTCGGCATTTGTATGATGGTGTATTGCTGGAAGTATTGGCTTTCCTTTGTTGAATCTAAAAAAAGAAGAAGTGCTGCGCGCCGTGGGGCAGCAGCCGTTTTCACGTGGCCCTTGAGAGGTGAAGCGAGATAAGGGGGAGAAAGTGATGGGCGGGATTGGAAGAGAGGTAACGCGAGGCGCGAACGGGATATGAAAGGAAGATTTAAGAGTAAGAGGGAAGGGTAGAGAGAGAGGAGGAAGCGAGAGCGTCGATGGGAAGGGACAAAGGAAAAAAAGAAGAACTCAAAAAGCTGGCGCTGATGCAAGAAAAAAGGGATGGGCGGGGGGGGTGGCGATGTTATCGTCTGTGTAGATCCTCCCGTTTCATTGTAATAAGCCGGTCCGTCCCCTCCTGGTAGACCGTGATGGACCGCCGTGTTGGTCGTTTTCTTGCAGTCTACTGAGGGGATAGGAGCAAGACGCATGGCTACGATAATTGGTGCCAAAATCTCAAATGCGATAATATGCGATAATGCGAATTGTTTGACCACTATGCCTAGGGTGCGCAGAGTGCTTGCTGCAGCCAGCACTTCGAGTACGCCAAGGAGGCTCTCTTCGGCCGTTTTGTTCCTGAGATTTCGATGCCTGTGTACGCGCACATAGCATGCTACTGCGTATGGTATGTGCTGCTACTAGCACCACAGCTGCTACTGCGTATGGTATGTGCTGCTACTAGCACCATAGCTGCTACTGCGTATGGTATGTGCTGCTACTAGCACCATAGCTGCTACTGCGTATGGTATGTGCTGCTACGAGCACCACAGCTGCTACTGCGTATGGTATGTGCTGCTACTAGCACCACAGCTGCTACTGCGTCCTGTGTATACACACCTCGCAGGTATGCATAGCACCACATGCTACGCTACTACACAGCACGTTGGTACGGTATACACATACTATGGGAATTCGAGCGCATGGCAGGAGAGCCCCTACCCGAACCAACACCAGGAGAGTTTGGGATGAGGCGGGGTTGCAAATAGACAGTCACTCGGCGTTACTAAGAGACCAAACCCAGCAGGATCAAGAATGTCAGTCTCACCTTCGAAGAGAGTAGCGCCTGCCTCTGCTGTAGACCCCGGCTCAGAACGGGTGCGACGTAGGTACCTCGAATCGACACCAGAAGAATTCGGGGTGGAGCTGGCTTCTCGACTAGTAGATTGCCGGATGGATGCGGGCAACTGCACCTTTGTACCGCCGGGGGTTTTAAAGAAGATTAATGATATCAAAAGCCCGCACCCACGCGGCGTTGACTGTGGCTGGTCTATGTAAGGGCTGCCTTGATGTTACTATGATCAAACTCACACTAAGCTGAAGCGACTAGTAGATTGCCGGATGGATGCGGGCAACTGCACCTTTGTACCGCCGGGGGTTTTAAAGAAGATGAATAATATCAAAAGCCCGCACCCACACGCGGCGTTGACTGTGGCTGGTCTATGTAAGGGCTGCCTTGATGTTACTTTGATCAAACTCACACTGAGCTGAATCGACTAGTATAAGGTAGCTCTCCTGAACTAGCCCGAACCGAATACTACGGAATAGTACTGAAAAACAGCACCATGCAGCCCCAGGGGATGGACCTTGTGGGCCGCGGGCCAACGTGATAGGTTTGAGGTTTGAACGCCAGAACATCTGTAGCGATGGCCTGCATTAGTCACTGTTACCTCGTCGATCGTACCGTGTCGTCGCGCATTCGAAACATCTTCATCATGTCATAGACTGCGACGGGTAATGTGGTGCAGTTCCAGGGGACAGGGGTGGACCGGCTTAATATTCGTATGTTCGCTCGGGGGAGAAGAAGAAGAAGAAGAACAAAAATACTCGAGGGACTGCCTTGTGCTCATTTCGAAGGAGGCTAGAGGGGGAGAAAACAATACAACTCTTGTTTGTTGAACGCTTACGCTTGTTGAACGCTTACGCCCGCCACTAAACCCAGATTTACCTGTGTTTCGTGTGGGCTACAGCACATTTACCTCCTTTGATCTATCGCAACTGGCAGCTCCTCAAGCATTTCCTACAAAGCAGGTGCTTGTACAAAAAATACTCGACGTAGCTGCTTCGACTCCGTTGTTTGTTCTTCGCTTACCGCCGTGTGTTGTTTTCTCACTCAGGACTTTTGACCTGTTGTGTTTGTGTGGTTAGTCGTCTAGGGGTAGACCCGCATGACCTCACGTCCGTTCAACACGTGGTTCGGTAGTAGCACTTGGGATCCCTTCTGTTCTTTGTCGGGCAGCATCGTCGAGCATTTCTTTTCAAGCTGGCGTTTATGTAAAAAAAAAAAAAGAAGGGCGGTTGATTTGACCTTGCGTTCTGACTGAGGGGCAGCGAAAACCTAACCGATTTACCCCCGTGACCGGAGGGATGTTACGACTAGTTGGCTTGTTTGAGGGGGGAGGGAGGAAGAGGTTGGCTCTGTATTTCTTTCATCGTTTTGTTTTGTGTGTGTTTCCGACGATCCCGTGGGACGTACAGATCGGTGGTTATTTTTTTCCCCGCTCCCAGCGACAGCAAGTGTCGGGTGGCTGATTCCTGGGGTTCCTTCGTGTGTGGCGTACCGATAGGTCTCTTCCAACCTTTCTTTTTGATATATTTTTTTCCCACACGTTTTCGACAGCGAGTCAGACTAGCTCCCCGGTAGGTTTCAGCTTCGGGATGACCTCTACTCATGCTTACCGCAACGCTTTTGTGTGTGGGTACCTCACCTGTTTTAATGAGTTCCAAGTAGTACGCTGCCAACTATCAACTTATCGTGTCAGCAATGCATTGTTAACACACGAAAATACTCGACGTAGCTGCTCTGACTCCGAATGGAAGGGAGGAAACATAGAGGTTCTTCGCTTACACCACCCTGTGTTGTTTTCTCACTCAGGACCTTTGCCCTGTTGTGTTTGTGTGATTTGTCGTGTTGGGGTAAACCCGCATGACCTCACGTTCGTTTAACACGTGGTTCGGTAGATACGGCACTTGGGATCCCTTCGGTTCTTTGTCTGGCAGCTATTGTCGAGCATTTCCTTCCAAGCTGGCGCTTATGTAAAAAAAGCCGAGTCAGAAATGAGTGACAGTGAGTGTAGAATACACTTTTTTTCCGGCCACTGCACGACGAAACAGCGCGTGGCTGTGCGGCCCCCGGCAAAATGTGCTTCGTAACCGGAGCCCCAGCCAAAAACCCCAAAAATTTTTTGCACCCCATGAACACACTTTTTCCACCAAAAATAATTTTCTCTCACTCTGAGAAGTTTATCTCACTGCCAGTGAGCATAAAATCCAGTTTCACCCACTGGTGGTATCATGCAGGGTCGAAAGTTTGTGTCTTTTTTTGACCTCACCTGTGGGGTGCCCACTCCATAAGGGCTACAGTACGATTTTTGTCTGGAAGCCAATTTTCAACATTTTAGTGATTTTGAGAGCGATTTCACCCTCCGAACCGTTAGCGATCGCTTCAAAACGTTTTAAACCCCCAGTCGGGGGACTGCTAGGCAGAAAACTGCGTTTTTAGGGGGTATTTCACGCAACCGATTGTGTAAAAGGTTGACGCGGGTAAGCACCGGGGGTGTGGCGGTGCCGCTCCAAGGGTTCTCCGCTAATTCTTGTCTGTCCGTCTGGGGGTAATTTCCCGACGGAAAAAGTTTGCAGTAGTAGTAGTAGAACTAGTCGTCTCACCCCCGCAGATACGGGAGTAAAACGGAGCAGTATTTGCATTCAAACGATTCACGTGCGGTGGCAGCAGAAATTGTCAAGCCGTGAAAAAGTTAACAAAAATAAAAATAATACTCTCCTCCTCGCCCGTCTCGCTGCTCCGTACTCGCTGCTCTCGTCCTTGCTGCTGCGTGATGCCAGATTGATGGTGCGTAACAAACGTAGAAAGGTCATGCAGTGATTCTCGTGTGTATGCCACGAACTTCGCGCGCAAGCGAGGGGTAAAATTACGGTGTTTTTAGAGTTATAGTTCGCTTGAGAATCCGGGATTTTAGAGTCTCCGGGTGACTTTCGTCGAATGGGTTCTTTTAAAGCTATTACGGGTGGGTTTGGGGGGGCATGCATGGCTTCTTTCGTGTACACCTTACTTGGTCGCTTTGGCGAGTCAGGTTCGAAACAATTTGTGACCGACACCAAGTTCTCGCCAGGTTAGGTGAGTGTTCTTGGGCTCCCCACGTCTTACAAGTTGAGCAGGAGTTGCCCTGTAAACCGTATCGGTCCATTGTTCGCACCATGGCTCTAAGTAGTAGTTTCTCGGGAGCGACGGGGTTATAACCTTTGTACAAGTGTTAGTTCTCGTCGGAATAGTATTAATCCTCTAAGATCTTCGATCTTATACGACGAAACGAAATCTCCCTGCTATACCACCCCCCCCCCCCCCCCCCAAGAAAAAACTGGGTCTCCCTTTTTCCAGCGTTATTTTTAGGGGCTTAGAATAGCTCGTTTTTTGCTTTTTTTTTTTTTTTACATTTCCTTCTTCTTCTTTTTTGTGTTACCGTCGATCCCGAAGGACGATCAGTTTTTTTTTTTTTTTTTTTTTTTTTTTTTTTTTGTTCTTTCGTTATTCGAAAGAAAGAGAGGGAGAGAGAGAGAGAACGGCGTAGCGGTGTATACCAGAAGAGGGGTGCTGCAAACAGATCTTCCCACATCACTAGTACTCCGTTTGCCAGGAAACCCATCAGGAACGGAGCAAAAGCTTCGTTCGCGGTTCGTATTTTTTAGACTGCTTTTTTTTTCATTTTCACTTTTCGACCAAAAAAGAAATACAGCGACCAGCAACGCATTTTTCTTCTTCGTCCGTATGCATAACAAAGGAAACGTCCCTAATGGCACGTGCTTTTCTTGTTATCAAATGTAGTTTTGCCATCGCGCGCACGGAGATCCCTCAGCCTCAGAAGTAGGAGTTGCAGTTGAAGCGCGCCTGCTTCCGGGGTGCAGCGTAGGCGCACTCTCCGCAACTCCCGCTTCTGTTAGCGCCGTGCTTCAACCCGGCAGGACCATGGCGATTGCAGCATCCCTCATGTTCGCATCAGAGGGTCCCACTCGTTTTCCTCGCACATTGTCGCCGGGTTTTCCGTGCCATTTCATCCGAAAGATCGCGGTGCTGGTTTCTTAAAGGGGGTCGAATGATAACAGTTATTTGACACACGCCTGGTTGTCTAAAACACTAGCACTATTTGATTCCGCTGCTGTTCGGCTACCCGGAACTTTTTTTTCGCGGTATTTGTCGATTACTTTTATTAGACTGTTTTTTTTATATTATTCGACAAATCGAAAAGAATAAAAACAGGTGTCATCATTATTCAACCCCCCCCCCCCAGGGGTACCTGTAATCCGGGGCCCGGGCCCTGGAAAAATTTCCAGGGTTTTTGGCCCTGGACAATTACCAAAGGAAAAACTCTCTGGTACGAGATGCAATTCGTTTACAATTCCATTCCAGGGCCCCAGACTGTCCTTGAGCTCAACGGATTCAAAAGCGTTCAAAAACGTCCTCAGAATGTATTTTTCGACACAGCCACGAAACCTGAAGGAGGTTTTCAGGTTCTGGCAGGTCTAGCTGGCTGCCTAAAGGGTACCACGGCTCACCCAAGGTCACAGGTGGCAAGGTGGGCGTTGAAAAAAAAAATTTTTTTTTTGGGCCGGAATCCCTAAAACTCCGCAATTCGGAAAGTTTTTGCCCACATTTTTTCCAGGGCATTTTGACCATTTCACCTTGGAGCCTCCGCCCGCTCAGCCCATATGGTAAATGCACGACTGTGAGTTTTTTCATCAAATTTTATCAAGTTTATTTCTTGATTTTTTCTCGTCTTGCTCTCCGCTTGTTGTGGAAGCTGCAATATTGAAGATTCCATCCTTGGATGGCGTGATTACCGTGGGCCTGGACCCTATCTGGACCCTAGCGCTAACCCGGGGCCCGGGGCCCGGGGCCCGGGCCCCGGAGACCCGGGATTTACAGGTACCCTTGCCCCCCCCCCCCCCCGCTTTACTACTGTTTAGAGGGAGTTCGGGAGTGATGAATTCTGCCAAACCCCACGATCAAGGACGGGCTTTAGGCACCTTCTTCGTGGCTCCGGGTGTACAAAATGCTGGCCGAGCCCAAGACAAAAAGCCTTTTTTTTTTTTTTTTTTTTTTTTTTTTAGACCGCTTCGCGTTTTTTAAGAAGTCGTTGAGATACAGCGGCTGAAGTTCAGTCCGGCGTGTCCAGTCGAGCCGACTCTTGCCTTGTGGGTGGAGGTGTTCCTCTTGGTAGGAGACAAGGGGAGGCTTCGTTTTAAAGGACCCCCTTTTTAGAGTGTAAGAACGATGTAGAGTGTAAGAACTTGCAGAGTGTAAGTTCGCTTAGAGCTTTGAAAAAAGAATAAACAACCCGGGGAAAGAAGGAGGTGAAGAAGAAGAAGAAGAAGAAGAAGAAGAAGAAGAAGAAGAAGAAGAAGAAGAAGAAGAAGAAGAAGAAGAAGAAGAAGAAGAAGAAGAAGAAGAAGAAGAAGAAGAAGAAGAAGAAGAAGAAGAAGAAGAAGAAGAAGAAGAAGAAGAAGAAGAAGAAGAAGAAGAAGAAGAAGAAGAAGAAGAAGAAGAAGAAGAAGAAGAAGAAGAAGAAGAAGAAGAAGAAGAAGAAGAAGTGTGTGAAAACGGGTTTTTTGCCTGGAGGCTTTTCGTGCTATTCTGCAGATGCTTTGACCCATCTGTGTCTATGCTTTCAGTCGTCTTCTTAACGCGGTTAAGTGCGCAAATAGTGTCAGCCGAAGCTGGTGAAGCTTGAAAAAAAAACACAGCAAAAAAGAAAAACGACAACCGACAGGCTCTTCTGAGAGCAGAGAGAAAGTCTCAGAAGAACAGTCCAAAAAAAAAAAAAAAAATCCCGAGAGGTTTATTCAGAGTGAAAGGTTCGCTAGAAACTCCGGGGTTTTAAAGTCTCCGGGGTGACCTTCGTCAGCACGCATGGGAAGATATCCTTCGTGCTCTGAGTGTTTTTTTTTTTTTGGGCGTGAGCCAGGGCATTAGCTTGCTCTCCGGCCCATTTTCCACATTTGGACCGCTAACGGCTTTTTGCATCCTCACTCAGGAATAGGCTCAACACACGTATCTTCACGACAATACTGGGCCCTGAGCGCCTCGGAGTGCACATTGGCCTGGGTGATGGTGTTGTGCCATTTTTTTTCCTTATTTTTCTCCGCCGGCAGGGGACTTTAGCTCTTTGTCTGACCGAGCAAAAAAGCCGGTTTCAGCCAAAACCCCGGTTTTGGGGCTCTGCGGTGCCTGTGGGTGTCTGAGTGCCTGGAACCGTCGCCCCGCGCACGTAAACAAAGGGACGGAGGGGGGTGGTGAGATATAAGCTTGCGGTGGTGGTGGTGTGCACGTCTATCAAACTACGGAGTGGTAAGTGAAAAGCTTCGAATTGCAGTGACACACCGTGACGCGCCATGTATCTGCAGTCACTGTACAGTACAGTACAGTACAGGGGCCACTTGAAATCATAATTTATAAATTATTTTTATTTTTTTGAAAAACCGAAACCGGAAAAACCCGGTTCCTGAAACCGGGAAACCAGGTTTCCAAAGTCCCCTGCCCCCCTTGAAAACCCCCGAAATGTCTTCTGCGATGCGGATGCGCCGTCGGAAACCGTGCAACCCCGCGAGAGTGGAGGAGTATCAAGAACAAAGGGTGCCTGAGTTTTCCGCCAGCCGCGCATGCCCAAAGAAATCCCGCAAACCCGCAAACCGGGAAACCGGGTTTCCAAAGTCCCCTGTCCGCCGGCGGGGAAAGTGGGGGAAGGAAAGGAAAAAGGGGGAGAAAGAAGAGACGAAAAGGAGGGAGAAAACACCGAAAGCCACGGTAAGCTTTTTTCGACGCGAAGAAGAACGTCTCGGGAAAAGGGGGGGGGGGGGGGGGGGGGGGTCGTGTGTGTGTGTCTTTTCCTCAACCCGGCGGCGGGGCATCCGGCGCGCCACCCCGCGATAAAAGCACAGAGAGAGTGGATGTGCGCTCCGGCCAGAGCAAGCGCAGCCGTCCAGAAGAGACCAGCCATCCTTCCCCGTCCCCGCACTGAGCGGTTACTCGCCCTTTTTTCCCCCGCCCAACCCCGGCTGGCCCGAGCGTTAACCGGTCAACGCCCGTGCAAGCACAGGTCGGACGGGGGGGAAAAAGGAAACAAATTTTTTTTTTCTTTTTTAGAGCGCAAGTTCGCTTAGGGATCCGGGGTTTTAAAGTCTCCGGGTGACCATTGTCGTAAAGGTCCTTTAAGGTATAGTATGTTAGTGTGTGTATCGTATCTGCTGTAGTGGCAGTACGTGTGGTTGTGTGCGTATCTTTGTTGCCTATTGCCGACGATTCGACTTATTTTAGCACGCGATCTTGTTTCCTATGTGCTTTGCCATATCCATGGCTCTTGTGACCGACACCGAGTTCACGTTCGCGAGGAACGCGATCTCGGGCCCCCACGTGCGGGTTTTGCCGGCCCCCTACCCTCCGGAGGGTCCCCACGCGGAGCTCTAGTCACTGTTGTAGATTCTTACTAGTGGTCAACAATTCTTACTATACTGACAGCAGGACAGTAGTCAAATGACTCGTAAGATTTATGACAAGTAAGATCAGTAGTAAGTGACTAATCAATGGCATGACGAGTGCACTGTGCATACCCCTTTTTCCTCCCCAGATTCTGGCTTGTTTCGTGTTTTTTTCTTTCGAGAAGCCGGCGATTGGACGGCTAAAAAAAAAAGCGGGTTTGCGGCGATCGTTGCGATTTTCTGCCTTTTGCACATTTGTTTGCACGACTTTTTGGTCAGTCCGCTTTTTCAGAGTTTTTGTACACCACAAAAGCTCGTCCGAAATGTCTCAATTCAAATCAAAAAAAAAATGGTGCTTCTAAGTTGGTGGCTACACGATGTAAGAGCATCGGGTTATAGCTTTTTGAACTTGTGGGGGGGGGGGCTACGTCCATCCAGAAATCGGGCGGACTAAACGTCCGTGCTGACAATCTAGACGAAGTTTCGAGTTCTACGAGAGGTACCGGTATTTTTTGAGTCTCCGGTTGACCGTTGAGGCGGGGTATTCTACAGGGTTCTTCTTTCTTTCTTTGTTTCTTCATCAGGAGGTCTGGGGCCAACCCGCCGTGTTAGAACGGCGATGTTCGGCGAGACAGAGATAGAGAGCGGGGGAAAGGTTCACAAGGAAAAGGAGAGCTTCGAACCTGGAAAGGGTGTGTGAGAGGAGGGCGGGGGTGTATCTGTGGGTGCATGGCGCACTAGTCATTGGAAAAGCAGTGTTCTGACTAGTCAGATTACTACTGCAAAGTGCTTGCTACTGGTTTGACGTGACTGGTCACTGTGGTCCAATATTCTTACTGGTGATCCACTACTAGTGATTACTGCGTTTTGTGAAGGAATCCCTTTATAAGAGTACGTTTTCTTCCCACAAAAGTGGACTCATTCACTTGTAAGAACGACTACTGCAGTAGTCATTCTTACTACTGATAGTTATATGACTAGTAAGATTTATGACTGGTAGGATCAGTAGCAAGTGACTAGCAAATGACATGACTAGTGCACCGTGTGTGTTTGTGTGTGTTGCAAGAAGGTGCTTGGAATGGACGTGTGCTCAACACCGCACTGGTCCCGGCTGCGCCGCGTTTCGGTCCTTTACGCCACGGACGC